TCAGCTCTCCCAGAAGCAGGCTCTTCCCCCCCCCCCCCACAACCCCTCCAGCTTCTCCATTCTTCAGAGAGATACAGTCAGGGATGCTCCCATCACTTTAAGGTTTGCAAAGGGTTCTACGCATGTGATCTCATATCCTCACAATATCCCTATTAGGTAAGTGCTATTATTACAGATGAGGAAACTGAGACTGAGAGAGATCAAGTGACTTATCTAGGGCCACATAGCTAGTAAGTGTCTGAGACAAGGATTCAAACTCATGTCTTCCTGATTAAGTCCAACATTCTATCTACTATGCTATCTAGATGGAAACCTAGATTCCAGCTATACTTATTTGGGGATTTCCTTGGCTGGGCCCCCAAACTGATTGACCTCTAAGATATCCCCCCAAGATCTGAATGTGAGTCCAAAGCTTGGGGACTCTCAGACCCTCTTCACCTCTTCCCTTCTTATAATAAATAGCCTTCTCATTGACCTTTCTGCATCTGCTGCCCGGGCCAATCCAGCCTTCACGCATCTGTCAAGATTACTTTTCTAAAGCTTGACCATGTTATCCCCAGTGAGCTTCAGGACCAAATAGAAACACCTTTGTCTTGCATTTAAGACTCGTCACTGGCTCCTTCCTTTCTTTCAAATTTCTTGCCCTTAACTCTCCTCCAAGTATTCTACATTCAAACGATACTGCTCTATTTGGAGTCCCTAGAATGGGACATCCCATCTCCTATCTTCATGTCTTTGTGCCTCCCCCTTAGAATGCTCTGTCGACCCTCACATCTACCTCTTAACCTCCTGACTTCCTTCCAGACTCAGCTCAAATCCCACCTTCAGCAGGAGGCTTTTCCCAGTCCCCCCATCTGCTAATGCCTTCCTTTCCCAAAATGCTTTCCATCTACTCTGTATATAACTTGTATCTATCTATTTGATATTGTCTCCTTCATCAGAATGTAAGCTCCTTGAAGGCAGGAACTGTGTTTTTCTTTCATTTGTATCCTCAGCAGTGGTACACAGGAGGTGCTTAATAATTGCTTGCTGACTTGACTGGCCACTTATTACATCCAGGACTACGTTGGTAAATGTTTAACAATCAGCTCTTCAAAGAATAAAAATGCAAACATAACATACTTTTAACTTAATTTGCATTATTATAATTTTCTCCATCACTTTCTTAAGTCTAGACAATCACTAAGGCAACAAATTAAGCCCTGATTTGTAGCTTTGTCTATTTCCAACATAAATGCTCACACTGAAAATTTTTACAATCGACTCAAGTGGATTAGAGCTGGCCCTGCACCTAACACTCTAAACAGGCTCTATTGTTTTCACTTGTCTTAGTTCCAGGCTATTCTGCCTTCAGTGGACCCCTTCCTCCCCCCCCCTTCATTTGAGGAGCTGTGCTATTCACTTTGCAGGGTTGCAAACCATTGGTTTCACAGAGTTAAATTCAAAGAGCAAGCTGTCAACCCCTGTTGTCAGAATTCTTTCCCTTTCACCCTCTTTCTGCCTTGGTATCTTTGTAAGCAGCAAGGGATGGGGTGGGGTAGGGGAGTGCCCTGAATAGACTGCTGGACTTGGGGTCAGGGAGACCCAAGTTCAAATCTCACATCAGATACTTATGAGCTGTGTGACACTGGCCAAGTCACTTCACCGAGGTCTGCCTCAGTTTCCTCATCTGTAAAATGGGGATAATAATAGCTTCTACATTCTAGGCAGTTAGGTGGTGCTGTGGATTGTCTGCTAGACTTGGAGTCAGTAAGACCTGAGTCCAAATCCTATCTCAGACACTTATTAGCTGTGTGGCTGTGGGTAAGTATCCTAGCCTCAGTTTCCCCATCTGTAAAATGGGGATAATAGCACCTCTGTCCCAGGATTGCTGTGAGGATCAAATGAGTTCATGCATGTAAAGCGCTTTGCAGACCTTAAGGTGCTGGCTATAATTCTTACACAGCTTTCTTTTCATCTGAGATGTTCTTCTCTCTCTTGGTTCTTTATTAAAATTCGACTCCAAACCCCTTCTCTGTGAATTCATTCCCCAACTCAGCTTGGTTCACCTCTTGCTCTGCGTTCATTGCCTGCTCAAATGTTGCCATTTAAAGGGTTTCCAAATTATTTGACTTATCAGAGTGCAGACTGAGGGGCAGCACAGGCCAGACTTTGTCCTTCAAAACCATCATAGGAGGGCCTCCGGAGACTCTCACTGTCAATCCTGTTCAATGAAAGTTACCAAGCACAGCTACTGTTTACAGAGGACCGTTTTAGGCACTGAGGCTACAAAGCCTCAACCCCAGGAACCACCCTGGGCTCTGATAGGTGCCCTCACCTTGGTCCACACCCAGCCACCACCTTGAGGCGGCTAGGCGGTACAGTATATAGTGTGCTGGGCCTGGAATCCTACCTCAGATATTTATTAGCTGTGTGACCTTGGGTGAATCACTTAGCTGCTTTGGTTTTTTTCAACTGTGAAATGGGGGATAATAATAGCACCCACTTCCCTGAGTTGTTGTGAGGCTCAGTGTCTGTAAAGCACTTAGCAAGGTGCTTAAATTTGGTAGGCATTTAATAAATGCTTGTTTTCTGCTTTCCTTCTACCTCACTTCCCAGCCCATTCCCTTTCTACCTTCCTTCTATATGTTGTTTTCCCTCATTACAATGTAAGCTTCTTGAGGGCAGGGATTGGCTTGCTTGTTTATATTTGTATGTCCAGTGCAAAGTTGGGCCTGCCACATAGTAAGCACTTAATAAATGCTGTATCTACCTAGATCTTGGAATCATCTGTATAGAGGTGATAATTGAACCTGTGAAAAGCTGAGGAGGTTATAAAAAAGTGTCTAGAGAGAACCTTGGTGTGTGCCTACTGTTAATGGGTATGGCACGGGTAAAGATCTAGCCAAGGAGACGGAGAAGAAGTAGCTGGGCTGGTAAGAGGAGAAGCAGGAAAATGCCGTGAAAACCCAAAGTCCAAGAGGAGAAATGCCATCTAGCATCAAAGGCTGCAGAGAGGTCAAGAAACATGAAGACCAGGAACAGGCCACTGGATTTGGCAAGTAAGAGATCATGGGTGTCTTTGGAGAGAGCACTTTCAGTCGAGGCATTGCAGAGGATTTGGGAGAATCAGAGAGAAAGTGGAGACCAATGAGTGAGTGCAGGTGGCATGTTCTGGGTGGGTAATGTCAAGGGATTGTGAGGCAAGGAATAAAGGAGAAGAAGGAGCTTGTGGAAAACAGCTAGGATTTTGGTGAAGAATGAGACAAGCTGTTTAACAGAAAGAGTTTGGGGGAGGTGATGGTGTGGGAGACTTCAGGAGAGCAGAGAAAGTTTGGAACAACCTCTGTGAGGAGTAGGATAAAGAATCAATTAGGAAGGGGTAAAAAGATTACCTTGCTGCAGTGAGAGCCCAGTTGAGATTAGATGGCAAATTTGAAAAAGTTCCTTGTTAAAAGGGATGGGTCTCTGGGAGAAAGGAGGGGGAAGGATTCAGGGGAAAGTTTAAATCAATTGTAAATTTTGTAAAATTTGTTATTAAAAAAAAACCATTTTTTAAGATGACAAATGTGTGGTGGATGAAGTCAGTTTGGTAGCTTGACTTTCTCCCGGTCCATTCAGCCACAATGTGAGTGTATGAGGAGGCAGTAACACAGGATTTGGGTCCAGCCAGGCATGACTGGTCCCTGGGACAAGGGAGCAAAGAGATTTAAGGGACAAGGAAAATGGAGGGTAGCACAATTCGCCATGAGATCCAGATTGAAAAGGGAGGACAGCATAGACAGAGAAGGGGTGACAGCCTGGTAAAGTACCCAGGGGTGGAGGGACTGGAGGTTGTGGTGTGGAGGAAAAGCAGGTTTAGGAGCAGTAAGGCATAGAGATGTCTAGATCATGTACAGGGAACATAGGTGGGTGATGGCAACGTCAAGCGTATCTTCTGCTCCAATCTGAAGCTGAGTGGAGTACTGGGTTTGGGGACTTGAGTAGACTGAGGAAGATGGCGGGGATCATCCAGGTGTATGTGGAAACCTTCTATTGGGAAGACATGAATTGGTGCAGAACGTGAGATCGGGAGCCAAACACTGAACTCAGTGATCTTTAAAACTGTTGCTAAGGTTTGCAAAGAACTTTACCCACATGATCACATTTCATTCATTCCTTTAATAAACACTTACTAAGCGCTTACTACGTGCTAGACATCGTGCTAAGCGCCGAGGATACAGAAAGAGACAAAAGACAGTGCCTGCCCTCAAGAAGCTTACAGTCTAATTTGATCCTCACAACTACGCTGCAGGGGCCAGTGGCTGGGGGAGCTCCAGGAGAAGAGGGGGTCCGGTGGGTGACCTTGTTGACCCCCTTTAGCCGATGAAGGAGTTGAGGATGACAGCGGCTAAATGAGCTCGAGTCTGGGCGGCTGACTCCAGGACCCCCACTCTATCTCCGAAGCACCTAGCTAGCTGCCGAAGCACTGGGGAAAGGAGAATGTTCTGTGGGCTCTGGCGGACCCAGATGAGTAGCTGAAGGAAGTAATGGCTAACGAGCCTGGAAAAACGAAAGATAAATTCCAAACAAAGGGGTCTGCATGTCAACGTGGGGCACTGGGGAGCCACAGTGCCTTCTTGAGCAGGGGAATGTCTCCGTAGAGCCGAGCCTAGCCTAGCCTAGCCTAGCCTAAGCTAATCTCCTTGGCCGCTAGGGGGAGCTGATTCCCGGCTCTGCCCAGAACTCGCTGGGTGACCTTCATTCAGTCCATCTGTACAATAAGAGTCTCAGCCTCGGTGAGCCTGGGGGAGCTTGGGGGCGGGGTTGCCGGAGGCCGTAAAGCGCCGACACTGAACGCCAGCTCGGGGCGGGGGGCGGAGCCCGCTCCCTGGGGCCCTTTGCGACATTCCCGGCGCTCCTCGTTTTGCGGCTCCGGGGGGGGGAGGGAAGAGTGGTGGCGTGTCTCAGGTCTTAACGGGAGGAGGCGGGGTTCCCGGGCCTCACCCCTTATACTGCGCGTGCGCGGCTCTCGGGGCTGCAGCTGTGTTTGCGACGGCGGGTGACGGCGGTGACGGCTGAGAGCTATTCCCGAGGGACCAAAGAGACCAGACCGGAGGCTAGAGCGGCGGCGGCGGGGGAGCATGGAGGCCGAGGCGTCGGCAACGCGAACCCGTCCAGCCAGAGGTGGCGCCCCCTGCCAGCCCGGGGGAGGCGGGGCCGTGAGGGAGGGGTCGGGGAGCCCCAGGAGAAGAGGGGGCAGTGGCTTGGGGGGAGCCACACAAAGGAGGGGGGCAGTGGC